GGGGATTTTTTTGGGGGGATTTTTTTGGGGGATTTTTTTGGGGATTTTTTTTGGGATTTTTTTGGGGATTTTTTGGGGGGAATTTTGGGGATTTTTTTGGGGGATTTTTTTTGGGGGTGTCCCCTGAGTGTCCCTTTGTCCCCTGGCAGCGCTGCCCCCCCCGGGGGGGTCCCTGGCGGCGGGGGAGGGGCGCGGGGGGGCCGAGGCCGCCTCGGCTGCGCTCGCGGACGCCGACGCCGACCTGGAGGAGAGACTGAAAAACCTGAGGAGGGACTGAGACCCCCGGGATGGCCCCCCCGGAGCCGGATTCCAACCGCGATTCTTGGGGAGTTTCTGGGAATTTTTTTTTTTGAGATTTTTTTGGGATTTTTTTGGGATTTTTTGGGATTTTTTGGGATTTTTTTTGGATTTTTTTTGGATTTTTTTTGGATTTTTTGAGATTTTTTTGGGATTTTTTTTTTATTTTTGGGGAATTTTGGGGGGATTTTTTGGGGATTTTTTGGGAGACTTTTTGGGATTTTTGGGGGATTTTTTGGGATTTTTTTTGGGGATTTTTTTGGATTTTGGGGGATTTTTTGGGATTTTCTTTGGATTTTTTTGGGGATTTTTTGGGATTTTTGGGGATTTGGGGGGATTTTTTGGGGGTATTTTTTTGGTTTTTTTTCCACAATCTTTTCACAATTTTTTTTTTATTTCTGGGGGGATTTTTTGGGATTTCTTTTTTGTTTCTTCGCAATCTTTTCCCAATTTTGGGGGGAATTTTTTTGGGATTTTTTCGCCGTATTTCACAAATTTTGGGGGATTTTTTTGGGAATTTTTTCGCGGTTTTTCGCCATTCAGGAAGGGGGCGTTGCTCCTTTATTCCGATTTTTTGGGGGAGTTTTCCTCACTCAAAATCCGACCCCCTTCATTTGGGATTTCCCCCCTTAATTTGGGATCTTTCCCTTTTTTTTTTAATTTTTTAAAAATTTTTTTGGGATTTTTGGCCATCCCAGAGGGGGATTTTCCCCCTTTATTCCAATTTTATGGGTGATTTTTGGAGTGGTTTTGGGATTCTCCCCTTTTTTTTTTTTGGGATTTCCCCCCTTTATTTAAAATTCCCCTTTTTTGGGGGATTTTCACTCTTTATTTGGGGTTTTTCCTCCTTCATTTAGGATTTTTTTTTTTTTTGTGGGATTTTTGGCCATTTCCCTGTTTATTCCGATTTTTTGGCTGCATTTTGGAGTCTGATTCCTCCCCAAGCAGAATTTCCCCCCTTTGATTTGGGATTTTCCCCAATTTTTTTTTTTGGGATTGTCACTCTTGATTTGGGATTTTCACTCAGGACTTTTTTTTGGGATTTTTCCCCCTTTTATTTGGGATTTTCACTCAGGGTTTTTTTGGGATTTTTCCCCCTTTTATTTGGGATTTCCCCCCTTTTTTTTTTTTTTGGGATTGTCATTTTTTATTTGGGATTTTCACTCCGTTTTTTGGGGGGGATTTTTCCCCCTTTATTTGGGATTTTCACTTTTTTTGGGATTTCTCCTTTTTTTTTGGGGGGATTTTCATTCAGGTTTTTTGGGGGGATTTTTCCCCCCTTTTTTTGGGATTTCTCCTCTCTTTTTTTTTGGGATTTTCGCTCCTTTTTAGGGATTTCTGACCCCCCTCTGTGGGGTTTTTTCCCCTTTTTTTTGGGATCCTGACACTACTTTGGGGTAAATTCCCCCTTCCCGGGGGTCTTTCCCC